TGACAAGCTTCATATTAAGGCCTTTAAAAACTGGTAAGACATAGTTTATAGTTTCGTTTCGCATATTAGTTTAAGCGGCTCGCCCCGTCAGATGCTTGGACAGAAAGGCTGCATGTGCCGCTGACAGAGACACTAGGCTACTCGCGCTGTTTAATGTGTTTGAGATGTGCTGTCTTCCTGAATGCATAACTTACATTTCACAGGTGTATTCTCCATCTGTAAATGTTAGAAAACCATGGAAATATTTCAATTTTTTTCTGTCAGAAGTGCATGAGCCTTCTGCTTTGAGATTCTCCGCTCAACTTCACAGATTCAGTGAACGAACACCACCGCGCGCATGCGAGCCAAAAAGACAGAGCTCAATTAAATAGGAGCGCAATAATTCTGTACAAGTAAGTCTATTTTTATGATAGCACTGACTGTAAAGTGACTGTAATGGGGGTAATCAAAGTAGCCTAACACAACTCTGTGCTTTTGTTCTCATTTATTTCATTTTTAGTTTAGTGATTGAACTTCCGCTTTAAAAGCCTTATTTTTGTCTATTGGCTGTGCTAATTAGAAGGCGGCCACAGCTGTTTTCACTTTAGTCTCTTAGACTGTGTATTTCTTTGATGTCTGTGCACTGACGCGGAAGCGTTCAGCCTCCTTGTGTGAAGACCGACGAGTGTAAAGACCTGCGACTTTACCTGCGCGACTTCACGGAGCAACGGGACAACATTGGGCGATAAGTGAAATATATATATATTAAATACAGATAAAAAAAAAAAAATACAAATACAAAAATGAAAATACCGAGATATATACCGTATATCACAAATCTGCCAAAAAATACCGAGATATGAATTTTTGCCCATATCGCCCAGCCCTAGGTATAGATGCCTTCTTTAGTCAATAGAAGAGACGGACGGCAGCACGTGAGTGTTTTGCTTAATACTTTGTTTGGAGATCTGTTGTTTAAATTATTACTTGCTGCTAGGAAGGAATATTTTGTTGTCTACCAATTTCTACTTTGTATTTTCATTGTAGTTTGTATTTTTGATTGCACTTACTGGTAATTATAATAATTGCCATCGGCTAAGAAGGAGCCTGTGTTATTTGCATTGCTCTCTTCCTGCACTTAAGTGCGAACTGTAGTTTCGATTTGAGCAATTGCCCTACTATAGGCTATTGGCTGTGCTAATTAGAAGGCGGCCACAGCTGTTTTCACTTTAGTGTCTTAGACTGTATATTTATTTGATTTCTGTGCGCTGACGAGGAAGCATCAGCGGAAGCGTTCAGCCATCCTCCCTCCTCATGTGAAGACCAACGAGTGTAAAGACCTGCGACTTCACCGAGCAATGAAAGCGGCAAGGCACTTAAGTATAATTTTTATCTTCCCTTTACTCACTCTTCTTTTCTGTCCTCTCTTTTCCACCTCTATCATTTGTTTCCAAAACATTCCAGTTGTCTCTCGACAACACTCTAACGTCACACGCAGACGGCAACGCAATCTTGCTAACCTGCGTCCTATCTGTACATCTTCTACTGCACCTCTTTCTTTCTCTGTGGGTCTCTGGAATTGTCAGTCAGCTGTCAACAAAGCAGACTTCATTTCTGCTTTTTCTTTACAATCCACACTCAGCATCTTGGGCTTGACTGAGACCTGGATTCGTCCAGAAGACTCA